GCTGAAATTTGAGATCTCTTAGATTTAGGTTTTCTTTGGGCTCTAGCGGCGTCTAGAGATTTGGGAGAGATCGATCCTCCTCTCGAATTGAGGATCATTTGCTGTTTTATTCATCTACTAGTGAAATACAAGAGTTTTGTTTGATTTTTTCTCAGATTTCTCGTGTAAAACTCCTGTTTTTCTCTGTTTGGGGGTTGTTTCCTGCTGTGGACAGCAATATCATCGTTGCAGTTTACTGATTGTGGCTAGGAACACTTGTGAATCCAAGTGTTTCCTATCAAATTCACTAGTAAAAGAAGAAAAACAGCAAGATATAATTGATCCTCTATTCGAGGGGAGAATCTATCTCTCCCAAATCTCTAGACGCCGCTAGAGTCCAAAGAAAACCTAAACCTAAGAGATCTCAAATTTCAACCAAATTCAAGATGTCCTAAGCCTAGGAAAAACAAACTATTTAATGCATACAATTCAAAAGGAAATCTCTAAACAATCCCTACATTCAATTTCCCTCCTAAACTCCCCCAAAAATCCTTCCTAAATTGCTCCTTGAAGAGTGGGCAGTCGGCTCTTGCATACAGGAGGCGGTGAATTCCGTCCCTTTTCGAGTGAGCCAGTCCACACGAGACTAGCTGGACCGGTCTAACAATATGACAGCTTTGTTCAATAAAGAAAGTCATAAAATGCAAGATAAATAATAAAGGACTTCACAACTTCAGTTAAAAGAGAAATAAAATGTTGACTTTGTTTCATCTAACAAGAAAAATCAATTAAATAACAAAAAATTATGAAACATCTAGGGTTACGTTAGAATCTTCCTGTCACATACCAAGCTGCAGCCTTGGCCACATGGAGGCATAGCCTAGGTAGGCCTACTTTCAAAGGGACGGGCAGGAGTCAGTAATATTTCAAAGATGAACAATAAAACAGCTGATATGCCTAACAATTTATTTCCAAACAAGGGCACATATAGTACAACTACAAAGTTTTCGTCAAAATGAAAAAGAACGCATACCTTTTGACTTGCTTGGAATGTTTTCCACTTCAGTTGAGCTTATTCCAAATCCAGAGCCACTACCAAAGCCAATTCCACTACTAGATATGTTTAAATCACTAAAGGTTCTAGTGGTAGACATAGACATAATGCCTCCTTTATCACCTCTGTTCTTATCAAGCTGAAAACAAGCACAGTAAATATAAATAAAGCTGCATAACACCCAGAGAAGAAACTGAAATCAAAAGAAATCCATGGCTAAAATCAAAGTATACAGTTCAATTGGTTTTTTCTTAACACTGAAAGCATTGTAGATGCAAAACTAAATATAGTCAATCCAAAAAATTGGTCAAAAGAAATATTCTACATGCAGCTTTTTGAGAACACAGTCAGTTATAACATGATATAGGCTCTAACATTAACTCGACTACATCCCATTATAAGGGAGAAAAAGAGAGGGGGGAGAGGTATCTTAGAAACTAACTTTGAAGTGTACCTAATCCACATAAACAAACTACGAATATATTCATTTACTACAAACATTGGATAAAACAATCTTCCAAGCCATCTGAAACTTCGTGTTTGACAAAGCACAAGATTAATGGAACACAAGCACTTCTAAATGGTGACCATGGGCAAATTTGCACATGGGAACGCTAAGATTGTTGACCTCATTTTTTAATGAGGCCAATCTTCTCTTTCCAATGGCATCCATAGCAACTAGGTTTTCCTACCTTAGTGTCGAAATTGTCCTTATGACCCATCTTATTGGAATACCTAAGAACTTAGCATTGGTTGGCCCTAGAGAGCCTATTAAACTCTTAGGATCCTCTTGAGCGGTTTTTAGGAAATTTATAAATTTACCAAAATTAAAGCCCTAGCAAACCCCTAGGTTAAACCTAAAATTATCAAAATGCTCCTAGTGTGCCCTACAAAAGCTCCTTAGGCCAAAACTTCAAACTAAACCCTGAACTTGGTCTCAAATGCTCCTAAAAGCTACACCTTACCCAATGACCTAAACATGATCAAGGAAACCTTGAATTTAACTCTAATTAATTCATAATCACCTTTGAATCACTAAGAGACAATATGAACCCTTGGTCAACTCCCTTGATCAAGGTCAACTTTGGTTGTCCAAAATGCCCTTACACTCTAACCCTTAAGTTAACCTAAGTTAGACAAAGCCCTTTAACTTTGGGTTTGAGTCAGGTTGATCAAAGACTCTTCAAGGATTAACTTGAACTCACCTCCATGGTTTAAAATTGTGCAATATGAGGCTCTCCTTGAGGCCTGCCTTTGCGCAATTCCAATAAAAAACGCCTCGATGCTTACTCCTCGAGTTTTTTTTATGAGGCTTGCGCCTCAACTTGGGTGAGGCCCGCCCTGAGGCCCGCCTCGCCTCACTGGCATGAGGCTTACGCCTCACGCTATATATATTAAAAACTTACATAAATCTTGAAGTAAATGCCCGACATTGGACTCTATAGGAGAGGAGGAAGGGGAAAGAGCTGTTCATCATAATAATGATTCAAATGAAGAACCCCTTAGTGATGACAGTGTTGATGACTTATGAGTTCTTATGTGATATGTCATTGGTATTTGTTTTTGAAAATTGGAATTATATGTTAATGAAAAGAATACTGGGATTTAGGAAAGATAGAATTTTGAGTTGAACTATATTTCATGTTGTCTTATTATTGGGATATTTTGATTTCACTTCATATCTTATGTTTTTTTATGTTTTATATTATTCGCTCATTAGTATATAAAAAATTTATTATTTTTTATTTACGCAATCTTTTGAATTTGAGGCTTACGCCTCAAAACGCCTTGAGGTTTACGCCTCGCCTCACGAATGAAAAATGCCTCAATACCCAAATACGCAATTTTAAACATTGCTCACCTCAAATCATGGTCAACACCAACTGACTATAGTTTGACTCAAAATCTCAAAAATACCCAATTTGTACTAACATATCCTATCTCATGTTTCTTAGGCTAATACCCTTCAATTTCCTTTAGGATCGACTCCTAGTCATTGAAACTTATCCTAGGATTACCCTAGTATACACCTAACCCACAACCAACCTTAGTTAACCATGGCAAGTTCAAAATACCCAAATTGCCCTTAATAAGCATATCTTAGGTATCTTATGCTAATACTCTTCATTCATCCATGGAATTGGTTTTAAAGAGCCTAAATCCACTCAAGGACTATCCTAGTACTTACCTAGCCTATGGTCAACTCGAGTTGATCATGGTTAAGTCAAAAGATCAAATCACCCTTAATAGGATAAATCTAGTTTTCCTAGGTTTAACCTATTCAAACTTCACAAAGTCTCCCCAAACTCTACCCAAGGGCTCCTAAAATTCTAGCCTAGACACAATAAATAGCCTAGCCCATTTGGGCTAACCGAAGACAACCTAATGGATTGACCAAGGTGACCCAAAATGCCAAAATCAAAATTAACCCAACCTATGCTAAGTCAACACATTCCCAAGCCTGCTTGGGGAAATTAAAATTCTCCATAACCTTTGTTAATTTGGGCAACCAACTAGCCTGACCTGGCCTGTGTAGTCATTTTGAAACAAGACCAATCCCTATGTAAGCTCAAGACAATAGAATGACCTCCATAGTTGTCTCCAAGCTCTGGAACAACCCAAAGCACATGGCAAAACCCTATTGGTTCTCCCATAGCCAACATAGTCAGCTAATATGGCTAGAGGTGGTCGAATTTTCATCCACATTTATTTTCAAAAGTCTTTAAATAAAGGTTGTATGGATTAAAATTTGGGGGTGAAAATTCCTAAACTCTCCTCCTCCATGTGAGTCTAAGTGAGCCCAACCCTTCCCCAGTTTCCAAAGCTCTTTAATGTACGAAGTGAGCAAACTCTAGCAAGTCATGCATTGTCATAATTCAACTTTTGATCAAATCCTTCTTCATCTTTGTTTCCTTTGGTGAATCCAAGCACTCAAAGTTTTTGATCATGTAGATGTTGGCGTTCGCAACATTATGAAGTGTACTTACAATCAAATAAAATCCAACCGTTGGATTATAAGCTCAATTTGGAGATCCACCCACAAAACTCCTCGGATCAGAGAGTTAAAAATGGGTGGCGGTAGTTTCATAGAGGGAGATAGGAGATTAAATCATTCCTATTTATTCCATGTAAATAAAATAGATGGCGGCAATCTAGTTGTATTAAAATATATGCAAATCTCTCATAGTTTCGATGAGATTAAACAGAGAAGTTCGATCTTCGATTGAATGGCAAAGTTTAAATTTGCGTGCCATATGGAACCCAGCACTAAAAGCAAAAGACAATGGAATGGCATCGAGTGAAAAGCACCTTGTCGACTTAGTATAGATTAAGAAAATACATTTTTTGAATTTAATTAAATCCAGAAAATAACCAAAACTTTAAAATATTATAATAAATCCATTTCAAATCCAAAAAATGCAAATAATACCTCTGAATTTAGAAAATTTCTTTGAAATTTTAAAAATAAAATTAAAGTGGGTTTTTTTTTTTTTTTTTCATGTGCAGTATTTTAGTTAAACATTGCATGGAGCTAATTGTGTAATTAATCCCTATGATTACTTCTTATTGGTCTCAAATCGACTGAAGATGTTTGACATATCCATAATTTTTCTCAAATCTATTTGTGACCTGCATAACACCATTAAATTTTCCAAGTTTTAAGTCCTCATATAGCTTAGAACTTTAGAAATTCATTAAAATTATTTTAGGAACCCAAATGCTGCGAAAATTTAAACAAAACTTTTAGATGGTTATGAGTATTAGAAATTTTTAATAAGGATAGAAAACCTTGTTTAGTACCCTTTATGATTAATTAAATATTTTGGGTTAGTAAACTTTAAAAAAAAATTAAAAAATTCAACTAAGTCCAAATGACCTAAAAATTTTAGAGGATCTTCAGGTCATAATTGAACTCTAGATTTAATTTCATAATATTTTGAAGCCATTTGATTAGAAAATTGGTTAAAAAGCCTTGAACTCACAATAAGCTTAAGAATCAAAGATAAATAATTTCAATATAACTTGAGGTTAAGAAGATAAAACAACAACAACAACAACAACATCAAGCCTTTATCCCACTACGTGGGGTCGGCTACATGAATCCTTTTTCTCCATTGTGTCCTATTAAAAGCCAAATTCTCGTAAACAAACCTTAAGCCAATCCAAAAATCAATAAATCATGGAAAATTGAATAAAATTCAAAATAATCTTAAACTTTCACAGAATCATCTTTGGGTCACCATGAGTGAAGCCTCATAAAGGTTTGAGATGATTTACACATTTAAAACTAAAAAAACTTAGTTTGCAAATACATAAGCATCGCTAGATGACCTAAAATTGAGAAAATTCACTAAAAATAAAATTTTAAATTTAAAAAATTAAAAATAAGTTTTCATAAGGAATAGATGATCATTAGAATCAGTGAAAATTAAACTTTTAGAAAATTTAAAATCATAAAATGTATTTTAATAATTTATTAATCAAATATGCCGATAAATAGAATAAATTTTAATAACTCGAATAGATTCCAAATTTTTATGAGATCCTTCTGATACCACATCTAACCACTATGAGAATTTTTATTTGAATTGAAATTAATTTAAACATAAAAATAAAAATAGGGTCATTAAACCAGTTAAAAATTAAAAAAAAATTCAAAATAAATTTAAATAGGTTCAAATTTTATAAGAATTTTCTCATAAATTTTGGAATTCATTTAAATGATATTTTGAATTTTATTTAATAAAATAAATTGAAAAATAATTAAAAATAAAAAAAAAATCAAAATAATTCAAGATTTTCAAGAAGTGCTCATTGGGTCATCCTTGACCTTAGAGAGTTATTTCATAAATCTTAAAGGATATTTAATTTTTAAGAATTTAAGAGTTAGCAAATTCAAATTGAAATAGAATAATAAATAAATAAATGATTTAAACACCAAAAATATTATTATAAATATTAAAAATTTACGAAAATATCAAATAAATTTATGTAAGCTTATAAAATTATAACAAATAATAAACAAAATAAATAATTCAATAAATGTCTAACAAAGGTATTTTCAAACCAGGTGATTTATATAAACTAAAACTTTCTTATTTACACAAAATAAATGGATGCGCTAAGGACATTTGCATA